TGGACAGGAGGCACTATTTTACTTAACGAGTCTATTTCATTTAAGTTTCTGTGACTGCCATTTCTAATTCTAGCAACCAAACAATGCATTAAGTAGGTCAGATCAAGCTTGAGAGGCTAAGGGAAGCCTTCAAACCTTTAGCCAGTCTATTTTATGATGATAAAGGAAGGAGGGAAATGTACCTGGCTGAAGTCCCTAACGTACACCTCAGATGCTCTACAGTAGTTAACCCCTACTATGCTCCCTCTAGATTATTGCTACTATTTCTTTCCTACTGTTGAGAAGATTAACATAAAGAGGGAGTCAAGAATAATTGGAATCTTAGTCCTTTCCCCTTACAGTCTATAATTTTAACTTCTTGTTTTTAAAGACTGATTTATTTTTTACAAAGTCAGATATGCAGAGGAGGAGAGACAGAGAGGAAGATCTTCCGTACAATGGTTCACCCCCCAAGTGGCTGCAAGAGCCGGAGCTGAGCCAATCTGAAGCCAGGAGCCAGGAACTTCCTCCAAGTCTCCGAGGTGGGTTCAGGGTCCCAAGGCTTTAGGCCATCCTCGACTGCTTTCCCAGGCCACAAGCAGGGAGCTGGATGGGAAGTGGAGCAGCCGGGATTAGAACCGATGCCCATATGGGATCCTGGCGCATTCAAGGTGAGGACTTTAGCTGCTAGGCCACCGCACCAGGCCTGATTTTAACTTCTTAACTTTATTTTCCTTCTCTATAAAATAGCAAAACTAATCATGCTTGTCAGCTTGAAGGATGCAGCACACGTGAGCCTAGTAGAAATTTAGTATTTGTTCTGAGTGAAGCCGGGCATTACACCCAGGCCCAATCTGGCATCAAAGCTTTGGCTCTTCCGCCCAACACCAGCATTCAAGGGTATGACAGACACCTGTTACTCCTACACAACGTGCTTTCACGAGGACACAGGGCAGATTACCTGCACTGAAAACCTGAGCATGAACACACCTGTGTGTGTCCAGGGACGATGACTTTGGACGGACGATGCTTTACATCAAAAAACCACAAGGGCAAGGATAAAGAATCACTGACATTAGCCTTCCTCTGACTCCTCCTGAACCTACCAAACTCAGAAGCTCAAAGAAATGTTTCTTTGAGTAAAGTTGCACCCGAATCAGCTGCCTCAGTTAGTGTAAGTTACTCTGCCTTTTCAGATGTCACAAAAAGAGAAAGAACAATAGATTCAGAAATCTAGTCATGCCGTTTGCATCTGTAAGTATATTTTGTGTAGTTTTAACTGCGCACATTTTCATTACATGGGTTTAACATGTATTAACTTTGATCAAGGCACTTAGCATTAGTGTCATTCTCTAACAGTTATTCCTTCTCTCTACTAATTTCATTATGAGGATGATGGAAAATGAATGTAAAAGCACTTTGTAAGTTGTAAAGTTGGAGATTAAAATATGATTTTCATACTACTGAAGGCTTATAAAAACTAGCTGAAATATTCAAAAAATGTTGTATAAGGAGCTTTTTGGAAAAACAGAGTATTAAAAGTGGAATCAAAATCTGGGATCCTTTTCCAATCTACTGCTTTTTCAGGCTACATACAAGCCTGTCCAAACTTCTACCAAAGCAAGTACTAAGGTCTTAAAAGGATTTAAGTTCATAACAAGCAGCAACAGGCCATCTTACTGTAAAAGCTTATTTTTAAACCCTTAAAGCTCAACAGCATTTACAGTTGGAATCCTATGAATGGATCTTTATGGTATGAAGACTCAACTTCTGGTAGAAATTTTCTATTGGTTTGGCTCTGGCCACCGTCATCTGACCCATCCTGCTGGCAAGGCACTCTGGGGACTTGCAGGTGTGGGCTTACAGGAGGTCCTAGGGAATGGCACAGGTCGAGGAGAGCAGGGACGTGAGGAATGACTAATGAGGCACTTCCATAGACAAGGCCACTGCACCTGCAGGTAAGCAAGGGGGCGCTGAGACTGAGCAGTGTGGAGGAGGGAATGGGAGGACCTTTAAGGGTCAGACTGAAGACCAGATCACATGGGAAACCTGAGCTGGAGCAGTTAGCATCAATGATCACCAAATACCACTCACTGGTGCACACTATAGCTAGGGCTGGGGGCCTATCTGGCAGGGGTGGATCACAGTACCCACCAGACAGAGTTGGAACAGAGGATGGGTAATGTTAGAGTAGGCCATTACACTAATCAACACAAGGGAGAATCAAGCCTGGGGAGAATCTGAAGGAGGATATGTGGGCTCACCCCTGTGGAACTGCAATCTCCACTGGCACATGCAAGATCTGTGGCTGGGAACAGGCCTGGTTAGGGAACTAAGGGGACACCCTGGCTGGGTTGGGGTTCCCACTGGTGATGGCAACAGCCGGAATGGGACCACTGGGTTGGGCTGGACATAGCTGCAGTCTCCCTCAGCAAGGGTGTGGACTGCATCTAATGTGTGCCAGAATGGGCCAAACTCCAGCACCCACTGGTACTCATGAGAACCAGGGTAGGTATAGAACAGGCTGGGCTAGGTCTCAAATCCTGCTGAACCACATGACAGCTGTGTCTTGACGTGGACTAGGTGTGGCTGGGCTGTTACAAGCAACAGTAAAGAACCGGAATGGGTGTGAGCTAGTTGGCAAGGACACTGTTCCTGTCAGGACAAGAGGTGGACAAAGTCAACCTGGGCCAAGGACACAGCAGTGTGTGTGAGAAGAGCTCTGGGAACTCCTTTCTCAGGACACAGTCCCTGCAGGTGAGCGTAAGAATCAAGGCAAGGAGGCCCATAGCAGCTCAAGTCCTGGCTAGTAGGAGCCAGGATTCCATATGGGAGCTAGTTTTTAATCCTGGCGGCACCCCTTCCCATCCTGCTCCCTGCCTGTGGCCTGGGAAAGCAGTTGAGGACGGCCCAAGACCTTGGGACTCTGCACCCATGTGGGAGACCCTAAAGAGGCTCCTGGCTTCAGATTAGCTCAGCTCTGGCCATTGCAATTACTTGGGGAGTGAATCAACAGATGGAAGATCTTCCTCTGTCTCTCCTCTTCTCTGTATATCTGACTTTCCAATAAAAACAAATAAACCTTAAACAAAAGAGAGAATATCAAGGCAAGGAGCAGCCCAGACAATGCCAGATTATAGTACCCACTGGCATACATGTGGGTCAGGTCTCAGGCGGGCCAGACTAGGCCAGTTCATAACACCCACTGGCAGACCTGAGAACCTGGACAGGGTGTAGGACAGGTCAGGTCAGGGTGCAACATCAGCCAGTTCACATCAGGTCAGGGACTTGGGGTCAGCTGGGCCTGGCTAGGCAGCAGCACCCACCAGCATAAGCTAAAGCTGGGGGCAGGCTGGACCAAGCCAGGCTGCAGCACCCAGTGGTAGATGCCAAGGTAATGTGGGCCATGCCAGTCTGGGCATGGTGGGTGCTGGGTCCGTGAGCCCTGAGATTGGATTCTGGGAAGACCCAGGTCACCTGGTCCAGGTCTTTGGACTTGCCTGTGCAGTGGGTGCTGGGTCAGCCCCGGGGGCGGGGGTCTTATGGGGCCAGAGTTACCTGGCCTGTGTGGTAGGTGCCAGGTCTGAGTGGCAGAGGCAGGGGTTCCAGCAGGCCTGGGTCCTTCGGCCTGCCTGCACAGTGAGGTCTGTGAGTGGGGGATCCAGTGGGGCTTGGTGGGGTGGCTCAGCACGCCAATGATGCTGGGTTAAGCTCATTGGCTACCCAATGGTGTGCTTGCAGAGGCGTCTGAGGAATGACACAGCCAGGGCTGTGCAGCAACCTGGGGTCCCACGTCCAGGATTGGTGGTCTGACCATAGAATGCATGTGTCAATACTAGCCCTCTTCAATGGAAAAGATGGAGCAGTGCACAGCAGGTCCTGATGCACATGAAGATATGGCAGCCCATTGGGGCCTGTAGGGAACATCTGATACCACAGTAGAGGAAGGAGGACAAAAGAAACTGGACAACTACCCCAGCCAAACAATGACAGCAAATATCTGGGTGAATGGTGACTCAATGAACATTGAAAGGGTTTCCTCATCCTTGGATGCGCGAGATCAACAGCATTTCATGACTATCAAAACCACCAAAACCACTCAGAACCCTCAGAGCATGTGCCACATCAGGACCCTGGATTGGTATCTGTAGCCATTTCCAGTCCCTGGGTACTGGGGCAGTTAGGAGGTTGGGTATGGCTTCTTCCCTTATCTCCCTACTTCCCACAGAAAGAAGAAATAGAAAATTTGAAACAATGATCTTACCCCTGCTTCCCTAACCCTCAATCCTTTCCACCCTGATCAACTATGTAAGCATCATTAAAAAAAAAAAAATTCTGGGGCTCTGTGCAGTGGTCTAGTGGCTACAGTCCTCACCATGCACACGCGGGGATCCCATATGGCTGGTGGTTCTAATCCTGGTGGCCCTGCTCCCCATCCAGCTCCCTGCTTGTGGCCTGGAAAAGCAGTTGAGGATGGTCCAAGGCCATGGGACCCTGCAACTGGATGCGAGAAGGCAAAAGATGGCCCAGGTCCTTGGTTCCTGCACCCAAATGGGATACCCAGAATCTCCTGGCTCCTAATCTTAGACTGGCCCAGCTCTCACTGTTGTGGTCAACTGGGGAGTAAACCAGCAGATGGAAGATCTCTGTCTCTTCCTCTCTCTGGGTAATTCTGCCTTTTTTTTTTTTTTAAACAGAAAGCTCTTTCAAAAGCAACATGGCAGCTAGATGCAAAGGAGAAGCAGGTGAGCATGATGAGCCTCCTAGACATGCTTCTGGAGCTTTCATCTCTGACCATGAAGTAACAGAGTGCCCGCAACTGCTTCCCTGGACACAAGCCTGGGCCACTTACTGACGACTCTTCCATGCCAACATGTGGCCCAAAATGGAATCCTTTTAATCCTTCATCACTTCTAAAAAATGCATGGAGAAGATATACATTAACCTATCTCAATCACTGTGAGAGAAGCAGGGGGTGGCAAGAAGTTACTGAACAAAGAAACACGAAGCACACAGGTTAATTTTGCTTTTAAAAAGAAATTATGCAATATTTTATAAGCTGAATAAATTGTAACAATTTGAAATGCAAATTCGGTTACTGAGATTAAAAATATTTATTACAAGCAGAGATCTTTGTTCCATATTAAAAAGAAAGCATAATTGGGAACATTGTGAATGGAATCTGGGTTAAGACTAATTCCAAATCCAATATAAAACAAGGTATGAATAAAGAAGTTATTTTGGAATTTAAAATTAGGAAAGCCAATATATATAAATGTGTATGATTTAGATGACAAGAAAGGGGTAGGTGGAAGAAACTAACCAAAGCCAAGACAATCCACAATATTTCAGTCCTTTAATTAAGCACATAAAACTGTACTACTTAATATACTTCTCCATAAACTTCTTGTGAAATTCCGATCGCAGTGTATCATTTACAAATCTTTTGTCTTTCTTCTGATCATCTACACCTTTTGCACAGTTCTTGAAGACAACATCATCGTCCCACCTAAAGGGGGGGAGGGAAAACAGACACCCTATAATGTTTGTTTTAGAAGAGTAGCACTTATACTGGGAAGCTGTTTTTACACAGAAATATGCTTGACTTGCCCGTCATTTGATGCAGCAATTATACCAGGAAGATTAAAGCAATTCTTAATCTTGCTCTATTGCAGCAGGAAAAACAATTTTTATTAGGGGACAGAAGATGCTTACCATTTCCTCAACAAAACAAACTTTGAATTGCACAGCAGAAACACACAGAGACCATACTCAGGAAGGCCCTCATAATATAGACATGACTAGATGAGAGGAACTGATCAACTTACTGTAGTTTAGAGGATGCTGTTTTGAGGATTTTACATGATCCTGTTTACCAGTTATATTTGATATTAGCTAACTATAACATTCAGAGTACAGAGCAGCAACAGGCAAAGGGACTGACCAGGTATAACAAAGGCTCATATTTGGCTCATATCTATATAAACCATGGGGAGATATTACTTCAAGAGTTCAGGATAGAACTCTGGATATTGCTGGTTGGACTTCATACTGCAGAAGCATAAAAAAACAGCCGGGACAGTGGGCTATAGAACAGATGTTGGAGAAAATAGAGCAGGATTCCATAATATGACCCAGCATATAAGATATAAACTCCATCCCAACCTTAGTCTCCATTCTTCTCCATCTCTAGTCTTTCAGTTGTTAGGGTCAAATACCTCAACTTTTGATAAAATGTCCCTTGTAAGCAAATCCTTCTTTGACTATACTATTGCCTCTGCATGCAGGGAGGTTTTCACAGCTCAGACCAAGAAGGAATGACTAGGCTTTTATCGTCAATGGGTAAAGAAGCCAATATGGGGTTTAGAAGAGCAGACAGCTCTTACGAACTTCACAGTTCAAAAGATCATGCTGCTTGCCGCATCGAGGAAAATCTGGGGGTGAAGACAGGGCAGTGAGTGTACAAGCAGGAGAAAATCAGGAGGTACTGCATGGAGTGGTGAGAAATCATGGAAATGGCAATATTTAAGCCTCCAAGATGCCTTTTCACCAAGCCTCCTTTCACTTAGCTTAGCACTTCCTATAAAACTTAACCTTTCTACATGCCATCTAAAACACTATACACACTGATTACTGTTTACAGTCCTCCCACTTCTAGCCATCTACTTCCTTTAAACACGCATACTAAACACACACACACAAAAGATTAAGACAGCAGGCCTGGGAGATTTCTCTCCTTAGGAAGGCCTGCTTCCAAGGTTAGCCCTTGCCTGGCCTCTGGAATCAGGTTTCCTGAATCCTCACCATCACCGTGCCTACAGGGTCAAAGTCACATGGTCTATGCTGAAAATTTACTCACCCTTGGGGAAATCTGGATTTTTTTATAGGTGCTATATCAAAGCTGTCTTACATGACTAACTCCCAAAAATCTTAGGGACTGAATCTTAAATAGGTTCCCTGAGTCAAAAGTACAGTCATGCTACTGCCTTTCTGTTGCTGGGAGAACAGGCTCTGTATGACTTCTCGTGGGGGAACACCAGCCCAGACTCCGCGTTACTGCCTAACGATTGGCTGTGTATCTTTCTGGGTCAGCCATGAACGCAACTCAATGCTTCTAAGTCTGAACCTCAGGAGTGGTTCTAGGGACTCTTGATGCAAAGAGTATAAAATGTAAGTTCTGTGGAGTCCAAGGTTCATCTCACTACTCTGTCCCTCATGATTGGATATACAGCTTATTCCTTCTCCTCTCACTACTCCAAAACCCGGCAGAAGAGTATCAGTGAAAGGGGGGTTTCCTTGAGGCTTCACATAATGCAATTTGTTATCCAACTCATAACCCACAGATCTATACAATCCACTACCAAACAGTACCTTCTTTTAACTTTGAAGTTGGCCTGAGGCTGGGAGGGGCCGGTAAGATTAAGCAGAGGGTTTCCACTCAGAATGTTTTCCATACGGATCCTCTCTTCTTCAGCTTTTTGTTCTTGTTCCTGTTAATTACAGGGTAAGATTAAATTATATTAACTCTGGGTCAATTCTCTTATATTCCATTCATGAAAAGCAAAATGAAACACTGTTTTTTTATAAGAACAGCATCAAAATATTTGTTTTGATTGCTACTTTTTGTTTTGATTGCTATTACTATGATAGAAAAGTCTCATCAAAACGAAGTCATTCAAAACATTATTTCATATTGGTCATCATACAGCTATTATTCATTTCCAACTTTGATATGCCAAGTTGGTTATTCGAACCTATTTTCTCTCTTAAAGCACATTCAACACGAACTACTTTAAATTTTAGGAGAATATATCAAGAAATATAGTAATGTATCATTTTATGATGTAATAACACAGTATAAACCAGCGTTTCTGTGAAGTAGTTAAACCTCTTGCTAGGCCCATATTGCTTGTTGGAGTGCTGCTCCAGTTCCGGCTACTCCTCTTAAGATCCAGCTCCTTGCTAATGCATCATAGAAAGCAGCAGATCATGGTCAAATACTTAGGTCCCTGCCACCTATGTGCTACAGATGGCATTATAGGCTCTTGGCTTTGGCTTGGTCCAGCCCTGCCAACAGTGGACATTTGCAGGGTGAAGCAATGGATCAGCAGATGGAAGAGCTCATTGATTTCTTCATAATCTTTCTCTCTCCTTTTCTCTACCTTCCCATCACTTTGCTTTCAAATCTTTATTTTTTAAATGAACATTTTAAACATAAGACACAATTGGCAATTGGCTTAATTTTAAAAGGGCGGTACATAACTGATTAAAAAAAAAATCACCTCATTTGAACTCCTCTTTCTAGAACTGATAACAAATGATTAACAGATTCCTAAAATAAAACAAATCACCATGTAAGCTCCTGATTTCCAATGGGCTAATCAGACATTACAAACATCTGGGTATGAACCAACAGACAGGAACTGTTTCTATGCTTCCCAAACAGATAAGAATTAACTACACAGTTAACGTGCACTTATTCATTTACCTGAGGGATATCCATTTTGTTCTTATAATTTACTGCTTCTATTTTTGTATTTCCCATCCTTCATCAACTTAGTTAAGTATTGCCTTTCTTGTCCTGTTTCACTATCGGGCGGAAACACAACCTAGGTGTGCCCTGTGGTTGACAGGACTTGAGTTACTTAAGCCACCACTGCTGCCCCCTAGGCCTGCAGTGCCAGGAAGCAAAGCCCTCTGAAGTGTGATGTGAGCACCTTAACCACTAGGCTAAACCCTTTGTGCTCCTTGTCTTTCTTTGCTCTTTCAATTTTGGCACTGACATCTTCAAAACCTCACATCAACCTCTCCTCCGCTCCATTTCAAAGTTAGGAATGTACTGTCTGAAAGCATGAGCTACAGCTTACAGGTCTAGCTGATAACAAGTTATCTGAAAGCAAATTTAAACCCAGTTTTGCTATATCTTGAAGAGGACAGAAATCAAGTACTTGGTACATCAAAGAAAAAGAGGCTGCTCGGATGTCATTTTTTAAAAAAAGTTAGTCATAGGGGCCCATGTTGTGGCACAGCGGGCTAAACTGCTGCCTGCAACACTGGCATCTCTTATGAACACTAAGTGCTCCATTTCTGATCTAGTTCCCTGCTAATGCTGGGGAAGGCAGCAGAGGATGTCTGACTCCTTGGACCCCTACATCCATGTGGGAGAGCTCCTGGCTTGGGTGTGGCCCACCCTCGGTCATTACACAATCTGCAGAGGGAACCTTCAGATCCACGGCCTCTTTGCTGCTCTTCCTCTCTCTCTCTTTCAAGTAAATACACCTTAAACAAAATAGGAATCTTTAATGATAAACTAATTTTCTACAAATGTTATGGATGCTTTCTTTTACTATTCAAATATCAAAACTGACTACTTTTATGAGGACAAATAAATGAGGTGGAAAGATGCACTATGACGATAGTTCCTTTTAAGTCACTGCTCAGACTTCAGGCAAATAAAGCAGCAATGATCTATCACAGTTCTATAAAAGCCTTATTTTTTAAGGAATTACACTGATGACTGAAGTGCTAGAAAACCAGTCCAAGTATGTAATGTATATAACATACAAAATTGTTGGCTGCTTCATGCTTGAACTATTCTTTCCTTTAGTCACAGGGTAACTCCTACACAGCACAATGAAGACGTGTAGCCCTCTTTCTGTGGTCAAATACAGGCAAAGCATTAGTTCTCTGGTGGACCCGCCAAGGGGCAAATCCATTTCAGAGCTGTGCTGTTCTGACAGAGCCGTATGGCTAGCCAGTCTAAAACATTTACGATTTGATTCTTCCCCCATAATGTGCAAAACCCCAATACCAAAGCTCATTTGTTTGAAGATGTCTTTGGGGATACTTATAAAAACAGTTGATGGAAAGGGAAAAAGAGCACATAAAACTATCACACGGTTTCAAGAAACACTAAAATTCTTGTATGAGAAATACGGGTAAAGCACAAAACTGCAAGACCCTCTTTCGAAAATGCTTGTACTTCATGGTCACCCAAAAGTATTTTAATCACTTGCTTTTGTATCTAGAATTGTTTTGACACAAAGAATTTGGAATGAGTGCCCTCTAGCGGCGGTCAGCAGGTATTGGGAATTTTCCCACAACTTCTAACTAGATACTAACTATTCTGAATTCTTTTCTGACCATTGTGACCCACACACTCACATTTCTCTTAAACTTACAGCATTAATCCAAGCCAGCATCCTTTCCCTTTTCAAAACAAGACAACAAACCTCAGCAATTATTAGCTCAAATGAAAGGTTACATAGTCTATAAATGAGCTACACATTTACTGAAAACAGGAGCAGATCTCTACTTGAATGACAGTGTGTCAGATAGAACAGGTTCATAACAGAATTCATCCTCTCTTGATGTCAAAACATGTTCATTTTCCTGCACTATCTGTACTAATTATGGCACAATATTTACCCCCAAACCAGTGGTATCTTTACTGTCACATGCAATTGTTCAATTCTACATTCTTAATAGTTTCGATTCTAACTCCTACTACACAAGTGAGAACTCACTTAATTAAATGTGAGGATTATTAGAACAATCTTACAACTTAGTTTTCCAATCTTCCATATTTTTTTTGTCAATAGGCCTTTTAAAAAGAACATCTGATTCCCTCAATCTCCTGATGGAATCAGATGACTTCTTACCTCTTTCAAAACAAAATCTACACTTTTGTAGCACTGATTTATAAATATCCAATGTGCTTGCCTTTCCAATTTTACCTGTTTTATTCAACAGAAATTCTTTAAACAGTGAAATGCATAATTCAAAGTTTTAGCCATCTTTGAGTAAGATAGTCTTTTTAAAACATAAATACGTATTTAATGTTTTTTGAAAGGAAGAAAGAAGGATTTCCTATTTGCTGATTTATTTCCCAAACACCTGAAATCATCAGGGCTGCGCCACGCTGAGGGCAGAAACTGGGAACTCAAGCCTGGTCTTCCAGGGACCAACGACTTGGGCTTGCACCTGCTGATCCCGACGTACACGCAGGCCAATGCCATCAGTCGGAAAGGCAGCACTGCACGAGGTACTCCGCTGTAAGGCGCAGTGTCCCCAGCAGCACCGTGATCACCGTGTGAGCCCTCACCCCGGAGTGAGACTTTCTCTTCTTCCGTTAAGGAAATGACCATTCTGAGTACCGACAGAAGTTAGGCAACCTGCCCTGAGTCACCCAATATCTGTTTACAGCTTGATTCAACAAGTGCCCAGGCAGGAGGCAGAGGCAGGTAACTTCATCTGCCACGAGTATAAATGTTAAAAAAAAAAATCAGATTTCTAGATGTATACATGTTATCGTGTTCAAATGTAGTAAAGAACATTTCAAATGTAAGGTATTATTTGGATTAAAAATATTTTTAGTTTAGTATGTGTGAGAAGACAGGGAGATAAATATAGTTAACACTGTGATTACCTTCCTGGCCTGCTCTTCAGCTCTTTCTTTTTTAATTTTTTCTAGTTCTGCAAGAAGATCTGCTGTGTCATCATCACTCTCCTCTTCAAAATCTTCATCTTCCTCCTGAAAAGAACAGTGATGCTGCAGGAGACTGGTAAGGAAATAAACACGATGCATTCCCCACTCTCCCCAAAACTGCCCTGCCAAATAACCTTGGGGCAGAATTAAGTTTCCCAGTGGGAAAGATAAATGCATCTTATTTCAAGATCAAAGCCTACAAATAGTAAAATGTCAATCACTGAGAAAACACTCTTCCAATTCACATGGCAAAAACAGAATTTATCTGAAAAGTTTTCCAAAACCAAAGGGAAAAACTTTACACAAAAACACAGTACACATGCAGAATGAGTCATTCCAAAGTGTTAAAACAGCTCAAAACAACTTGAAACTAGGAAATAAAATACAATCAATTGTGCAAAAAGGATTTTAAATTGCCAGAAAAAAATATTTTCAAATAAATCACGATTAAATTTCGCTTAAAATTCAATTTTACTTACTTACTATTAGTAGCTCCATCAGTCTAGAATCAATCACCTATACACATACACAAATACCATCCACAAAAGGCCATTCAGATTCTTTTTCACTGTAGGGTCCCACTAAGCTTCAACATTAACGGAGAGAGCTGCCTAGGGAAAGCCCACTGCAGGAGTGCCCTGTGAGTAACAGGGTAATTCAATCTCCAGGCTGCAGAGAGGATTCCACACAGCTTCCACTCTGGCTTCTTTAAAGATCAAACTTGTATGCGACGTTTTTCATGCAAAAGAACATATTTTGTTTTAAAAATAACTGCAAAGTTCTGTGTTGAGCTTAGTGTTACATTTGAGTAATAGTGAGTAAAAAATAAACACATCACTTCTTAAAGCCAAAAGCTTAAAACTGTATTTCTGAAAGCACAAAAAAGAAAAAAAGCCAAGATAAGAGACCCAAGTGGGAATGGGAACTCACGTCCGTGAGAGGGTCGTCCGCATCGAGGTTGGCGGCAGGGATCTGGTCTAGGCGAGGCTTCTTGGAGACTGAGGAGGAAGTTGTGTGCTCTAGGGGAAGTCAAACATCACTTGGCTTACTACACAAATACACATCTCTTACAACTCAGGGACTCTGGGCACAGAACGGCCACACTAAAAGCATCACAGAAGCATGGACCATACAGTGCCTGGCAAATAATACATTTGGACCGATATTTATTGAATGATTTAATGAAAGTATTGATCTCATACAGCACTGCAATCTCCTTCAGGAAACTGAGGGAATATTTTATACACACAGGTAACAGAAAGCACCATCAGCTCTAATCCAAACACACAGGAGAGCACTGCCATTCACACTGATATTTAGAAACACACAAAGAAAATAATCAGGCATCTTCAATTTCTATGTGAAAGAAAAACGAGGGAGAACTGTATGATGACCGTCTGGGCTGATGTTAGTACCTCGGGTTGGCCGATCTCTGTTTTTCTCTCTTGCAGCAGCTCGCTCTCTCTCTTCCAATTCTCTCCTGAAGTCTCGGTTACGGACCTCCTCAGGGGCATCCTGAGTAGCTTGCCTAAATTATAAGCAAATTGAGGTCAAAATGCTGCTATAAAGGAAAAAATATATATGTGTGTGTGTGTTTAGATGTTGTTAGCATTACTCTCAATACACGGTCTGTCCCGTTAATAATGTGACTGCCATGCTGACTAGCGTGACAAGTGCAGGCAGCTTCTCTGGGAATCCCATTAGCTGCCGTTCCATCTCCACGTGGAAACTCCTGGTCGATAGGGATTTCTGCTAAAGCAACACGATAGCACTTTAAAATCACAGGGTATAATTTTAGTCTTAAACCTTGCATTGCATTCTGTTCCTATAAGAACTGATTTCATTAAAGCCGATTTGTGCTATTCACATCGTGGCCGCGCAAGTCAATAGCTCAGGTCCACCTCGTGAACAAGGGAAACACGGAAGGCTTCACTACCTATATTTGATCTTGGTGTGAGAAGGTAAGTCTCTGCTGGAATACTGCTTGGAGAGCTGGCTCAAGTCACCTTCTCCTTTTCCTCTCCCACCTCTTGCAGGTTCAAAAGTTGGTCTGGCTGCTGTTGTCATCTTCAAGGCTTTGGGTGAAAAAAAAAAAAAAAAGAGGCAAACTGTCATGGTGTAAGGTATTAACCAACATCCATCCCACAGGGCTAATTTTCAAAGCCTGTTTTAATCATTTCTCGAACAAAAGTCCTGAAGGAAACCAATTCTAGGTTTCATTCTGGGGTGAAGCCACGAGGCTGTGTTCCTGTTCTCCTTCTGGCGCCGATCTCCCCTCGCTGACTCTGTAGAGTGGGGGGCTTCCTGTCTTAGAGCCTTATGCGAATTATGACCTGACGTGACAAAACCCTACACATACTCAACGGAAACCTCGAGTCTCCCAGCCAGACTCGCCCAGGAAGATACAAATTTTAAACATCACCGACAAAACGGGGTGTCCTAGAAGTGTGCGGCCGGTTAAGCGCTGTCCGCCGGCCTCGCCCCAGCCGTCCCGGTACACACGGTCACAGTGCAGGGGACGCTCCCAGGACCACGGCCGTCCCTGCAGAGTCCGTGTCCCGGACGCTGCCCGGCAGGGTTCTGTGCACGCTGCTCTGGCTTCCCCAGGGGTGACAGCCGGACGCGGAGAGGAGGACCCCGATGTCGGGGACCCCGGCCCCTCCCAAACCCATCAGCCTGGTCAGCCGGGAGCCCGCCTCGGACCGCCACAGGGACGCGGCGGATCTCAGTTCAAAGCCGTCAGCAAGCTTCGTTCCCCGCCACAGGAGGAGGCCCCTCCGCCTGCCGGCGCTCGGCACTCCACCAAGGCCGACTCTGAGCCCGAACAAAGACCCGCCAGCCGCTCACCTGGACCGAGGGCCGACGCTGCCGCCGCCGCCGCCGCCGCCGCCGAAAATCACACAGACGCCATTGTGCCTGCTGCTTCCCAGCAACCTCTGCGCCTATCGCCAAGACCAGGAAGCAAAAGCCAAGCGCTGACACCGCCCTGGGAGGCGAGGCGACGACCAATCCGGGAGCCCGGCGTGACGACAGCAGGGGGCGGGGCCGAAACGGCCGAGGGGGCGGGCGTTTGAAATCAGGGCTTCCGAGCAGAGCTGGAACATCACACTAAGCTTCGAGAGCCAATTGCTTAATGTCTGCAACGTCTCTCCCTTCCCCGACCCCGCTCCCAGACTCCTTCATTCCGGCGCTGCGCGGACGGCAGACCCGGGGTAGCCGGCCGCCCGTCCCTGTTGGCGGCAGGCAGCCAGGAGGAGGATTTCCCGCAGCAGCCTGCATCCAACGGCTCTGTTTCCGTCCTTTCTCCTCAGATAGATCCATCCAGCCTAGGAAAGTGAGCTGCGGAAAAAACTAGTGTTGTCATTTAATTGGATATGAAGAAAGAGCAAAATATGTACGGGGGCAGCCACGATCTTTATAAAGGTACCATTCCTGCCAAAATATTAAGACTTCAAAGCCAAGGTTGTATTGGTATTGTTTGCTAAGGTTTTTTGTTTTTGTTTTTCTGTAAAATGCCCTTAAATTCTAGCAGAGGGGGAGATGGCAGTATTAGGCGTTCACGACCTTGAGCGTTTAGAACGGTGGGCCCAACCGCCGGGAGCAGCGTGCGGTGGAATTATTAAGATGGCTACTGAAGCGTTATGTCAAGTTTTAATAAGACCAAGCAAAGGCGAAAAACAGACAAAAGCCAGATACCAGTCGGCTGCCCTCCTCCCCCGTAAAATAAGCACCCTGAAAGCCGTGATCTGGTTTAGTCCTTCTTGATATTGAGTCACACACAGTAGATGCTCAATGTGTGTAAAACCAGCGAAAGTCACTCTCCCAACTGCGTTTCAAAGGTGTCTCCCTACCCAGGGCCAATCTTTGAACAAGTGAAACAAGAAGCAGTAGAAAAAGTCCCATTCTCTGTAAGAGTCAAGATGAAGGTCTTGATTTCTTTCAAAGCCACTCCTCTCCGAGTCTGGCACGTGTCAGTCAAGGATGCAGCCATTGTATTGGCAACTCAAACCTACAATCCCCTGGCACCTACTTAGATTCCCTTCCCTTCGTTTCTCTGATGGCCCTTGCTCTTTCACAGGTCTTGTCAAAATTTACCCTAGGTTTCATTCCGCAGTCAGCATCCCGGCCCAACCACTGTGCCCGTCTCCCACCTGGATTGTAACTCATGATCTGGCATTCCTCCCCCACATAAAATTCCACGGCACCCCAGCACCGCTGGAGTTGGGCTCAACAGTCCCAGTCCTACACTCTGAGCGCTCGGTGGCTCTAGGTAGAGCCAAATGGGCATTTCTGTTTTACCAACCAAGGGGAAGGGAACAGCACCTTGCTTGTTGATTTAGACCTTCGTATTATCTCTTCTCTGCTCCCTGCACACCAAGACAACAATGGCCAGGTTGCACCTCCTCCGAGGCTAGCACCTCAAGGAGGCTTTCCCTGACACCTGAGTCTGTATTCCCATCCCTCCATCTCTACCTGAACAGCACCTGTGTTTAATCTGTGCCTTGTGTATTACCTTGTTCCCTGTCTGGGAACACTGGCTTTGCAGCATAGCAAAGCTAGTGAGCCAAAGCCTGTCTTGGTTCTAAACCAGTTCAGCCCTTTTGTAGCCTTTAGGGAAGTTGTGTTCCCTCACTGTGTCCTCTGAGCACAGCTTCCTCCTACATAGAGTGGAGATAATTCTAGTCCTTGGTTCTTAATGCTTCTGTAAGGATTAATACTTGTAAAGTTGCATAGAATTGGCTCAGCAAACAGTACTTGCTACGTAAATGCCAGCTGTTCCTATTATTAATAATATTTTATTGTTATTGTCTATCTTCTTGTATTAGAACGTAAGTTCCAGGAAAGCAGGAACCTTGTCTGTCTTGTGCACCGGTTGTTTCCTCTGCAGATAGAGCTGTGCGCGGCACATAATAGGTGCTGAGTAAGTATTTGTGGAATGAGTGAATGAATTCATGAATGAATGATGCACTATGAAATAGAGGAATGTAGTAGCAATGGCAGGATGATGACACAAAGAAAATACAGTTTGGCCAACTGCCCTTTCAACCCTGAATGGATCTCTTCCATTTGTTTAATTCATAGCTTACTACCCAATCTTTGGACTGCCAACTGTGACCATGTAACAACACTGTAATTTTATTAGCACAAACACCCAATATAATCAGACCACAAAATTAAGAACTTTTGACTTATTGGTTCGACAGTATAAAAACCTAGGAAATTGCTTACTTATTTGACCTGAATGTACTAATAAAATCTTTTTATTTAAGCAGTTTCAAAATATCTAGAAGGGGAAAGAACGTTTACTTAAAGCTAAACATTCACTTTATAATCTAACACTGCTGACCAAAATCATATAACCTATATACTATATATGCTATATATGAATACTGTATAATAATTGAACTTTAATTGTGTTTGCAATTATCTTACATTTTCCTCATCTGCAATGCTATTATTCATATTCCTTTCTTTCGCCAAGCCTGCATGCCTTTCCCTTCTATTTCATTCCCTTTCCCTTCTATTTCATTTTTCCTGTTAGTAAATATCTTCATTTTCTGGGGAAATAGAGGCTCTTAAACAAGCACTCCTCACCTCTTCTCTCTATCGATGTGTCTGCTCCCTTTGGCTGTGCCTGTGTTATCATTATTCGGTTGTTACTGGAGACGAGGTGACTTGTACTTTGAGTCCTAACCACTTCCCCCTTCTCACTGGCTGGCACCATGATGTACTTCCTGCTTCCCATCAACTAGGAAAACATCTCTTTCATGTCTTTCTTACCACCTTTTAGGCATGAAGTAGTATATGTTAATCTTAAACATGCTCCTTCATTTTAGACATGAGAAAGAAAATATTTTAATTTAGTAGGAAAATAATGTTTTCTATATTTGAAACTCCAAAACTGGCTTGTATATGGGAAAACAATAATGTGAAAGTCGAGCTTCAAGGATTACATAAAAGCAGTACCCAAAGGGAAGAAATGAGATCCCAAAATCCTAGAAGAAAATTGTAAAATTATTTCTAAGTAGATTTCTAGAGTTTGAAAAGATTGTTTGATCAAAGTGGAATACCCGAGTTTCAAAACATATAATTTAAATTTTGTTTCTGTGTAAAAATTATTTGGTTGTAGGAGATGTCCAGAATGAAAATCTACAGATAAAAACTGGAGTAACAGTAAGATTTTCTAATGTCTTTGACATTTAAGGGTTACTGCTACAACAGTAATACAGATAACATGAAAAATGTAAACCCAATAAAAGTGAAGAAAGGATGCAAAAAGTTCCTTTAGAAAAGACAACATAAATGTGACAGCAGATAACATGAGGTGCCCAACCTCCTGGAGAGGAAAATGAAAATTATCACATTGACAACAATTTAAAAAAAAATGCAGTTGGAGGAATTAAGAAAAGGGACAGGCAGTAGGTCAGTGGGAAAGACACTTACTGCCTGTTGCCCTTGCAGCAAAAACCCACATGCTCACAAGGGCGTCCTGGGTGTGCACCTGGCTCTCTGTTCTCATCACCTACACTTCCGGAACACATGCCTTCCTGGTGTGGTTTGAACATGAACCTTTGCTCGCACTGTCAAGCCCTTGCACTAGCTATTTCCTCTGCCCAGAATGCTCTTCCCTTAAGCTCTTTGCTGCTGGGGGAAGGCCAGCCAACCCTGACAGTCCTTTGTAAAGTTGAGCTGTTTTCCCCAACTGTCCCCTAGCACCATGAACTCCCTATCTTCCTTGTCGTGCTCTTTCTCTTTCTTGTAGCATGAATCATCTATCTCCCTGGATCCTATTTAATTCCTTTACTGTTTGTTTCTCTTCCTCTTCCATGTACAATATAGGTTCTGTAAGGTTAGAGAGGTTTCTGGTTCATGGAATAATGTAGACCAAGCATTTGAGAGCATGGCTGATACTAGCAGTTACCCAGAAAACGGCTTCCAAATGAGTGAGTGAATGAGTTTTAACAGGAAAAAAAAAAAAATGATATCCTGGTAAAAATTACTACCTCGATCTGTTTCATATTTTGAAAAGAAAAAAGTAATTTACATTCTACCACTCTGAAGTCTTGATTTTACACAAGGACATGACAAGATCCAGAAAGATTATTTCTAGGCTCCGTATCATCAAAATTAATCAGACATGCCCTCAATGCAGTGAGAATGCTACTCCACTCTCCAGCTCTTCCCATTGATTGAGTTACTCCAATTCTAGTTACCCCAGCATTACAAAGGTCTCACACTATAAAATGTGTAACTTACTTTAAGGCTTTTACTTGGAGCCAGGAAAAATCTTAATACCCGTGAGTTAGAAATTACCTTTAAAACTAAAGTAATATGAAAAATGGAATATTCTTTGAATTTTTAACCTGAAAATCACTCTCATTTTCTGATGTAAAATGCCAGTGCTCTAACCTGTTTAGACAGTGAGAAGAATAGGGAAGTAAAGCAGCTTACCTTCTTCCAACTAAATCCTGATTTTAAAATAAAGACACCATGGGGCCTGGTGCGGTAGCGTAGTGGTTTAAGTCCTCGCCTTGAATCGAGCCAGGATCCCATATGGGTGCTGGTTCTAATCCCAGTGGTCCCGCTTCCCATCCAGCTCCCTGCTTGTGACCTGGAAAAGCAGTCGAGGATGGCCCAAAGCCTTGGGACCCTGAACCTACATGAGAGACCTGGAGGAAGCTCCTGGCTCCTGGTTTCAGATTGGCTCAGCTCTGGCCCTTGCGACCACTTGGGGAGTGAAACATTGGATGGAAGATCTTCCTCTCTGTCTCTCATCTCTGTATATCTGCCTTTCCAATAAAAATAAATTAAAAAATAATAAAGACACCAGAGTTTAGGGAGATGATTCCTTGGAGGTGTCTTTCAAATAAAATGTCTTTTGCTGATGCTGCAGACTAGGTTATTGGTTAACAACTTGGCAGTTTATCTGATCTCTTGACATGGCTACTGGCTATTCTCTCGTTACTAGGAAAATCAGAAGAAAGGCAAAAATCAAAAGAAAGCCAAAATAGCACATGTAAGAGAACTTCTAGAAGTCCATGGAAAATGGGATTAAAGGCTAAGTTTATTTTGTTACAAAGAAGTTTTGCAATCCATGATAGTTTTTATCTATAAACTTTTCGCCTTGTATGCATGACTTTCAGGGTTTTTTTTGTCCCCACATCAAATTATTTCGTGATTTTAGTTTCCATGATTTTTTTTAAGATTTATTTATGTATTGGAAAGTCAGATATACAGAGAAGAGGAGAGACAGAGAGAAAGATCTTCTGTCCAATGATTCGCTCCCCCAGTGACCGCAACATCTGGTGCTGCGCCGATCCGAAGCCAGGATTCAGGAACTTCTTCCAGGTCTCCCACGCGGGTGCAGAGTCCCAAAGCTCTGGGCCGTCTTCAACTGCTTTCCCAGGCCACAAGCAGGGAGCTGGATGGGAAGAGGAACTGCCAGGATTAGAACCGGTGCCCATATGGGATCCCGGATCATTCAAGGCAAGGACTTTAGCCACTAGGCCACGCCGCCAGGCCCCTCCATGACTTGTTTTGAAGTACCTTTATAGAATTAAAAGATAGAAAAGACATGCCAAACAAATTCTAAACCAGATTTATTATATAGTAGAATTAAATACCAAAATCATTATTTATATTGAGTAACATTAGTAGAAGCAAAGAAACACATCTTAACTACATTACAAGGAGAAACCAAAGGATGTGTTACATTTATAGACATGTATGTAACTAACCACATAACTGGGAAAAATCTGCAGGAAAAAAGTAAAGAATTTAAAAGGAGAAACTGCCAAATCAGTCAGAGTTGCAGATCTAGCACACAAATTGACAACACTGACCTAATATTTATGTTGTATATGTGGGGATATATATTTATTACATGTGCATGCTGCTATTTATATATGTATATAAAATGTTATAACTAAGACCACACACATTCTTGTGGTTTAGGCCTGCCAGCTAAGCCCCGAGGTCACTGAGGGTGAGGCGATGGTGCTCTTTGGCCACAAGAAACACCCAGGGATAAGCTGGTGAGGAATGTCCATTCATTCAGCCCAAGTTCCAGGTTTATACAGGTCTAAGACAGGCAAGGGTAAGAGGGAGTTTTCAGGCGGTCCCTTCGCCCAGTAATGACACTGTGATTGGATGAAAGGCACACCTAATCCTGTTGAGCTTCCAATCATATCGGGGTTGGAAGTCACACCCTAGACCAGGGCAGGTAAGCTCTGGGTCACGCCCACCGGGTGGCAGGCAGAGACCGGAGATGATTTCCCACAGTGGAACACTTACAAAAATCAAGAATAAAATCCCAAAATAAATTTCAACAAATGCCTGTATATGAATGCCTAAATTGTAAGTCTTGTCAATTTGGGGATGTTATGTAAGTGTTCACACTTGTATGTTAATGAGTCATATTCTTTTTTTGTTTTGCATTTTTCCTCGCAGGTAGTATATGGTATGTGTAGGTCTGGTACATGACATAGAATTTTATTAGGTAGAAGTAATAGCACATGTATTAATTCTAGTAATGCTCTCCATTATGGTGATTTTGTAGAAGGTGTCACTACAAACATTCCTGTAGATGTGCAAAGATGCACTCGTGTGTGCATTTCACATGTCTGTCCCATCAACAGGATGAAAGCTCTTATTCTATAACACGATGGTTAGAGTTCAATAATCGTACTGCACTGGATACTGATGTTTCAATTTTATCTCATCTATTAAATATGTTGTAAAATATATTTGCAATGTTTACAATTACAAATTCATTGTCCATTTGAATTTCTTATGCAGGTCATCTAAGTCATTTTTTTGGTTTGTCATCATCTTAGGAATTTTTTTTTAATGCTTGGCGCACCGGTTCTATACATATATATACTGCACATATAATTTTTCACTTCCTGGCTTCCCCTTTTG